AAAAGGTCCGGGGGGCAGTCAGGAAGAGGGGGGGTTGGATGGGGCAGCGGGGGACAATCAGTGGCGGGGGTTCCAGGGGCGGTCAGGGGACAGGGAGCGGGGGAGGTGGTGGATGGGGCAGGGGTCCTGGACTGCCATTAGGGAACAGGGGGGGGGTTGGATGGGACAGGAGACCTGGGGGTGGGCTGTCAGGGAGCGAGAAGTGTGTGGGGGGGCAGATAGGGGGTGTGGGCCGGGCCATGCCCCCCTCCCCTAACTGGCTCTTCATACAATTTCCAAAACCCGATGGGGCCCTCAGGCCAAAAAGTTTGCCTGCCCCTGCCTTATGGGGTGGGGAAGGGGGCTGGGCTAGGTGTCTGGTGACAGTTTAGAAGAAGGGAACCAATCCTGTTTCAGGGCCTAGCAAGTCATACATTAGCTGGCTCTAAATTAATATCCCACAGATACACGGTAGTGAGTTCCAAGCTAAACTCCCACTGAGGTCAGGGTCACTGGGGAGCATAGGCTTTTGGGCGAAATCCTGGGCCCATTGAAGTCAATGGTTTTCTCATTGACCTCAGTAGGCCCAGGATTTTAGCAATTGTTTTTATCACATTACATCAAACATCCCAGGGCTAGAAGTGACCAAATGCAAAGCCAGGCATTTGCCTGACCTCTGGCTGACTCGCTAGCTCCAAACCGAAGGTGAGCCAGAAAGTGCCCGGAGGCAGCGCCCTGTGCGCTCATGCAAAGAAAAGGGAAAGGTCAGAGAAAGGCACGTTTGGGGACACTATGAAAGGGAATGTGGACAGGAAATAATGAGCAATCTCCCTCCAAAGCACTGACGAGACTCAGCCTGCAAGGCCTGTGGGTGGGTGTGACATTCTGTACCTTGGAGGAGCACCCTGTAACCCCCCATATTCCTCATCTGCAGGTAATCGTGATCTTACATAGAAAGCAGGCCTTGTAAGGTATCAGGGGAAAGGTTATGATCTGCTGAAAGTCATTTCTCTATCCATACATGTGTATCATTAATGCATGTGAAGTTATGAGTATTGTGGTTGTACGGTGGTCACTAAAACATGCCGTAAGTCGGGGAATCAGCCAGATATTAGCTCCCCAGAGGCAACAACAAAGAAAATAACCAATGCCTGGGTGGGGTGTGAAACAACCATCAACAGCCATTGTCCAGCAAGGGAGCTACAATGCAATGACTCACCTGCATGAGGCCACACCAGGGAATAGCT